TCCTGTGCTACCTCGAATGAGGGAAAGAACCTTAGAATGGCTGAGGTAGCTGAGTTGCACGGTGCTTGTGTAACATTCGTGAGGCCCTGGATCCAATCCCTAGCACCTCCAAAAAAAATCCCCTCTTGGTCTTTATGCCATTCTTGTCATACATCTTACTATAAACCCCATCATACATGGATATTATTTTTAAAGTATCTTTAAAGAGATATTTACATATTAGGAAAAAAACACACCCATATAGTTACCATTTTCAGGGTTACTTTATTCCTTTGTAGATCAATTATTTCTACTTGATATAATTTTTCTTTTGCTTGCGATTTCCTTGAACTTTTCTTGCAGCATGGGTGTGCTGGTGATTAATGCCTTTAGCCTTTATATATCTCAAAACATCTTTGTCTTTTTTTCCCACTGCTGGGTTTAAACCCAGGGTCTTGCACGTGCTAGGCAAGTGCTTTATCACTGAGTACCCTCCACCCCCAGCCCTTGTCACCTGTATTTGTTTCTGAAAGATATTTTTGCTGGGTAATGAATCCCAGGTTGACGTCTGTTTTCCTGAACTTGAAAGGGGTGTCTCCGTTGTGTCTTCTTGTGCATTTCCTATGTGAAATCTTCTATCATCTTTATTTTTATGCCTCTGAACTTATGGTGCCTTTTTTCTCTGGCTGGTTTGAAAAAGTTTTGTCTTTTTTAAAATTTTTATTATTTGTTGATGGACCTTTATTTCATTCATTTTATTTATATGTAGTGCTGAGGATCGAACCGAGTGCCTCACACATGCTAGGCAAGCGCTCTACCATGGAGCCACAACCCCAGCCCAAGATTTCTGTCTTTATTACTGGTTTTGAATAATTTGCTTATGATATAAGCAAAATAAAAAATAAGACAAATCTTATTTTCTTTATGTCCTTGGGATTCATGTGCTTGTTGGGCCTGTGGTTTTTATCAAATTTGGAAAATTTCCAGCTATAATTTCTTTCTTTTTTTTTTTTTAAGAGAGTGTGAGAGAGAGAATTTTTCAATATTTATTTTCTAGTTTTCGGCGGACACAACATCTTTGTTTGTATGTGGTGCTGAGGATTGAACCCGGGTCGCACGCACTCCAGGCAAGCGTGCTACGGCTTGAGCCACATCCCCAGTCCCAGCTATAATTTCTTAAAACATTTTTTCTGTCTCCCTCTTCTTTTGGGGACCTAAATTACATGTGTACAAGACTTCTTGAAGTTGTCCCATAACTCATGAATGCTATTCTCTCTCTCTCTGTCTCTCTAAGTTTTTTTCTCTGTTTAATTCTGGATTGTTTTCACCCTGTCTTCAAGTTCATTAATCTTTTCTTCTGCTGTTGTTATCTGTTGTTAATCCCATCCAGTGTGTTTTTTATTTCTGATGCTGTAGTTTTTATTTCTAGGAATTCAATTTAAATTATTATCTTTATCTCTAGTGAATTTTTTGAACATATGGAATAAAGTTACAGTTATTTTAATGTTCTTTGCTAATTCTAATAGCTGTGTCATTTCTGGGTTGATTGATGGTTCTCGTGATGGATTATGTTTTCCTGTCTCTTCACATGCCTGATAATTTTTGGTTAGATTCTAGACATTGTGAATTTTACTTTTTGGGCTGTTAGTTTGGTATTCCTGCAAATATTCCCGAGTATTGTTCTGGGGTGCACTTAAGTTACTGGAAGCAGTGTGATCCCTTTGAGTTTTGCTTTTATGATTTGTTAGATGGGTGCCGAACAGTTCTGCATCTAGGGCTTATTATCCCCACCTTGAGGCAAGACCATCCTGAGTAGTCTCCTCAGTGTCCTGTTAATCATGAGGTTTTGGCCTGGTAGGAATGGGCCCTTTTGCTGGCCCTGAGTAAATGATGGGTACTTTCCTCTAATCCTTTTGGATTGGGATCCCTTTGGGATCCTCCCAGACATCCGACAACTATTTCCAGAGCTATTTCTGGTCACCATGCCTAGTATACAGTGAGTGCGCCATGTTTGTTAAGTGAAGGAATTCAAGAGCACTTGACCTCTGCCCTCTGACCCCTGTCTTTCTCCCCAGGGCACTGCACTTGGCGGTGATTCATCAGCATGAGCCCTTCTTGGATTTCCTCCTGGGCTTCTCCGCGGGCACAGAGTACTTGGACCTGCAGAATGACCTAGGCCAAGTGAGCCACTGGGGACCATGTAGGGCACGGGGACCAGGGTTCCCGGTGTGATCTTAACTTCTGCTCTGTGCCCCTGTAGACAGCCCTGCACCTGGCAGCCATCCTTGGGGAGGCGTCCACGGTAGAGAAGTTGTATGCAGCCGGCGCCAGGTTGCTAGTGGCAGAGCGCGCGGGCCACACGGCCCTGCATCTGGCCTGCCGCATGCGGGCACATGGCTGCGCACGCGCGTTGCTCCAGCCCCGCCCGCAGCTCCCCCGAGAAGCCCCCGACACCTACCTCGCAGAAAGCCGCGACCACACCTCGAACCCCAGCCACACCCCCGTTGCCTTATGCTCTGAAACCGACTTGGAGAAGGAGGAGGAGGAGGAGAGTGAAGAGGACTGGAAGCTGCAGTTGGAAGCCGAGAACTACGAGGGTGAGCATCCCTGAGGGTGAGCATCCCCGCAGGGTGAACATCCCCCGAGGGTGAGCATCTCCACGGTGTGAGCATCCCCGACCCCGGGGTGAGCATCCCCCGAGGGTGAGAATCCCCTGAGTGTAAGCATCCCAGAGAATGAGCATCCCCCAGGGTTAGCATCCCTGAGGGTGAGCATCCCTGCAGGAAGGAGGCCGGCTCCCAGGCAGGAGAGGGTCCCAGGCCTTGGGCTCAGCTTTCCTGGCCTGAGACCCAGCCCCTTGGATCATCATCCCTAGGCCTCAGGAACCCTGGCCTTGCAGCCATTCAGGCCCCAGATCATTGAGGATTGGGCATATAGGACTTAGGACCTCCATCTAATGGTCTCAGGTAGCTTGGGACCCAAACCTGCCACCCAGAGCTTCCAGGATCCAGTGGTTGGACCCAGGCTTCTCACCTGCATGGTGCATCCATCCAGGATCCCTGTTTCTACCTACAAGCCTCAGGCCCCAGCCCAGCCAGGATTTGGGGATTCAAAACCCAGTCTTTGTGCAGTTATGGCATCTGGGTTCCCAGCCGTGGGCAGCAGCTTACTGGGGCAGCCCACCCCAGCCAGGCCTCATGGGGAAGGAACTTGTCTGCCAAGGTTCCTGGCATCTGAGTGTCTCAGCTCCCCCATCTATAAGCTCAGCTTCCTGGGATCAGGCTGACCAGGTCACTTAGGAACCACTGTTCAGAGCCTGGATCCCAGGCCCTTCAGCTACCCAGGTCCTTTGTGAAATAAGACGACAGGCTCAGGTCTCCAGGCCTCAACATCTGGGGCCCACAGCTCAGGATCCCAGGCTCTTCACCCACAGGCCCCAGACATCCTACAGCCCAGGAAAGGCACCTGCCCACACGCTTAGCCTGCCTGGCACTCAGGATCCACCCGCCGTGCCTGGGAAGGAATTCAGGAGCCAGACCCCAAAAATGACCCTTCTCGGACCCCCGACTTCACGGCACTGGGGAGCTGGGCCCCTCACCCATCGTCTCACACCAGCTGCTCTGTTCCCAGGCCACACCCCGCTCCACGTGGCTGTCATCCACAGAGACTCAGAGATGGTTCGGCTACTCCGGGATGCAGGAGCTGACGTCAACAAACTGGTGAGCTGCTGTGCAGGGCAGGTGTGCAGGGGAGGATCCGATGGTTGGGCCCAGGCTTCTCCTCCTGGGGCCTCTGACCTCTCTGCCACACCCCACAGGAGCCCACGTGTGGCCGGAGCCCGCTGCACTTGGCAGTGGAAGCACAAGCCACCGAGGTGCTGGAGATCCTCCTGAGGGCAGGTGCCGACCCTGCCGCCCGCATGTATGGGGGTCGCACCCCCCTGGGCAGTGCCCTCCTCCGACCCAACCCCATCCTCGCCCGCCTCCTCCGTGCACATGGAGCCCCCGAGCCTGAGGATGAGGACGACAAGTCCAGCCCCTGCAGCAGCAGTAGTGACAGCGACAGTGACAGCAGGGATGAGGGCGTGAGTCAGGAGGGACACGGGGCAGCCCAGCTGGGGGGTCAGGGTAAACTGGCACTGGAGGCGGGGAGGAGATAGTTAGGCAGGGCATACACCAGCCTCGGGCCGCTATCAAGGAACTCGGTCGGGCAGCCGCGCGAGGGCTGCGGGCATCAAGCAGGACAGATGGAGGGGGCGGCGGGAAGAATGTGGGCAGCCGAGGTTGGAAAGTTAGGCAGCTGCAGAAGTCGAACTTGGGAAAAGGTTTGGGTGGCAGTGATAGTGACATGCACAGGGGTCGATGGCAGCGTGGGAGTGAGTCTGGAGAACAGGAGTTGGAGAGCTTGGCTGTGGGCAGGTGACCTTGGGCAGCGCTGGGAACACTGGCAGAGGGGGGAAGACCTCAGGCGCAGTGAGGAGCGAGGCCTTGGGTTGGGGAACACGGCAGCAGACACGGCCTCGAGCGAGAGACAGCGGGAATCGGGGGGTTGAAGGAGTGTGTGAAGGCAGGGGGCGTGGGGAGGCCTCAGTGCTGAGCAGCTGCTGGGCCAGAGCGCCAGTGGCAGTGGCGGGAGACACGCACCTGGGAGCCATGACCTAAGTAGTGCTTTGAGAGCCAGGAGCAAGGGAACCCGGCTTCCAGCCAAGACCCAGTTCTTAGGGTACTGTGACTTGGGCAGTGGGCAAGGTGGCAGCTGCCTGAGCCCCTCTGCCACCCCCTCTACCCCCAGGATGAATACGACGACATCGTGGTCCACAGTGGCCGGGGCCAAAACCGGCCACCTCCCACCCCAGCGTCCAAACCTCTTCCTGCCGACCCCGACCCCGTCTGATTTTTTGTGTTAATATAATTTCTGATTTAATAAAACCTCAATTCTGACAACCAGCGACCAGACTGCTGTCCTGTCACTCCCGGCCGGCCGTCAGGGTGCAGTGCCACACGCCAGGCGAGGTGGTTTTCTCTGTGCTTTATTCACTCGGAGGTGGCAATGGGCCAGCTGGCTGGGGGGGGGTCCTGAGCTGAGACGGCCCAGACCCCGCCCAGCTTGGACTTGTCCCCTCAGGATTGGTTCAGAGCACACCCTGCCCCCATCATGGTGGGGGCTGGAGTGGAGTGCCAGGTGAGGTGGGGGCTTGGGGCCAACAGTCCTAAGCCATTGGGTGTGCTGGGGGGGCAGAGCCAGGGTCAGCCCTCCCTCCTGACCCCCTCCCCCAGCATAGCAGCGGCCTTCTGCAGCTCCTCCCGCACGTGCTCCAGCCGCTCCAGGTCGTGCTCCTGGTGGGACCAGACACCGGGAGTCACAGGCAGGCCACCTCAGTGGTCACCTGTAAATGGAGGCCCTGTCTCTGCTCACGATGACGGGCCACTGTGGTCATCCCAGTTGTTGCCACATCCCATCTTGGTGACACAACCCCAGAAGAGAGGTTGGCCAACGTGACCAGTAGGGAGGTCCATGTGGACTGTCGCAGCCAACAGGAGCAGCCACAGGACTGGCAAAGGCGCCTGATTTGGGTGACCCATTTGGGATATGATGGCCATTTTGGTTACTACCACTAAGCATGGTGACGCGGCAATGGTGTCCCCCTCTAGCCCAGATATGCAGCGGCTTTCATGTGGCCGGCCTGCGCATTGTGGACTGGCAGTGACGGTTAACTGAAGTGCCTCAGGGGAATCATGGTGGCCCTTCTGGTAACTGTGGTCTCAGGGGAGCCACTGTGGCCCAACGGAGGCCTTGCTTGGGTGTCGTCCTGGTCACTCATTTGTTGTGTTTTGTTTGGTGCCAGGGATTGAACTCGGGGCCCTCAGCCACCGAGCCACGTCCCAGCCCTGTTTTGTATTTTATTTAGGGACAGGAGCTCACTGAGGTGCTTAGCGCCTCGCCATGGCTAAGGCTGGCTTTGAACCCGGACCCTCCTGCCTCAGCCTCCCGAGCGGCTGAGATGACAGGCAGGGCCACCACGTCTGGCGGTGGGTCTTGCCATGTGGCCCAGCACTAGCAGCTTGTTTGGTGACCTGTCTTGGAGACCCCCCCTTCAGCACTCACCTCCCTCTCTGAAGCCTCTTGCTGCTTGGCCCCAGGGCTTGGCGGCGGCTGCTGCTGGTGATGGTGGCGCGGCAGGTCCCTGTGCCCCTCTCCTCTGCCCGCCTCGGCCCCCTGCCACAGGCTGTGGTGCCCACCCAGCATCTTCAGCCCTTTCTCCTCTGCCTTGAACTGGGCCGTCTCCTCATCACTGGCCTTCTCTGTCACCTGCCTCTGGGGGCCCCCTCCGCCCTCCAGATGGTGCTTCCACAGGTCCTCGAAGGTCTCCATGGGGCCGCTCTCCTCCTTCTCCTCCTCCTCCTCCTTCTCCTCCTTCTCCTCCTTCTCCTCCTCCTTCTCCTCCTGCCAGAGCCGGCTGTGCAGCTGCTCCTGGACCTCGGACCTGTGGCTCCTCTCGGCCGCCTCCTCCTCTTCCTCCTCCCTCACCTCCTGGCTGCTCCGTGTCTTTCCAGCCTCCCGCTTCTTGAAGTCCCCACCCAGCAAGGCTTTCTCCTCAGGTGACAGGCAGCCGTAGGGCTCTGTGTCACACATCTCTGGCGGAAAGAGACGGTGCTCTCTGTGCCGCACACCGGGAAACCCACAGGGGGACTGTCCAGGACGGGGAGAGGGGCCAGCTGCGGGGCTCTCTGGCCCAGCCCGTCCCTCTGCAGGAAGCCTGCCGGGTGACCAGGCCAGGCTCGGCCAGATGGGAGCCCTGGACGGGAGGACCCAGGCAGAGCCCTGGTGGGGTGAAGCGGGCTCCGGGGGACCCGGGCCTCCTTACCTCTGTGGAGAAGAGCTGTGCAGGGTCCTCTCTGGACCTGGCCCAGGGTCAGCACCTCTGTGACCACCTCTGCCAGACAGCGGGTCAGCTGGGGATGGGGCAAGGTGTCAGGGGGGAGGTGGAGGGCAGCGGAGGCGGAGAGGAGAGTGACTGGAGGGACGGGGGCAGTGGGGGTGGAGAAGGCTGGGAGGGGGGAACCCAGAAGGATGGGGGGTCCACACGTCTCACCTCCTCCTTGGAGGGCCTTGGTGCCAGGGGAGCAGCCGTGGCTGTGAAGAAGGGTGATGCTGTCCTGGGTGCTGACCAGCTTCCCGGCCACCTCACCCTCCCCAGCCCGCCTGCCGGGTGCACTGTCCCCACCCGCAGTCCAATCAGAACCGCTGGGGTCACCACCCCAGGCCCCGCTCCCTGGGCCAGCGCCAAGGCCACCCACCCCCTGACCCCTGGGATGCTGGCGCTCACCAGGGCCCAGCAGCAGTGCCAGCAGCGGGGACAGCGTCAGCAGGAGCATGGCGGAGGCAGGCGGGGCTGGGCGCGTGTCCCCGGCCCCTGGTTGTAGGGCCAGGTGCCAGAGCCTTATAACCAGCGCCGCTCCCCGCAGGGAGGGGAGTGACCCTGCTCCACCCCTCCCGGCCTGCGGCACAGGGACAGCTGTGGAGCAGCCCGCCTACCCCAGCCCTCAATTATTCATGGGGACCTGCCTTGCACACCCCCACCCCCAGCTTCCAGGCCTCGGGCGCTGTGTGCTCTTCTTCAGGACACAGGACACAGGGGCTGCTGCTTACGGGCCCCAGCGGGAGGAGGCCCTGGGTTGAGTCCAGGCACAGCCACTCACAGACCCACCTCGGCAACCATCCTCCTCATCTGGGAAGGAACCTCACTGGCTCAAGAGGCCGCAGTTGGGCTCTGGCCTAGGTCCCAGTCCTGCCACTTGCCAGACAGGCAGCCCAGGGACAATGGCTTAACTTCTGGCATTTCTGTGTTTATAAAACAAGGTTGGTGACAACCCACTCCACAGCTTGCTGGTGAGGGTGAAATAGTGTGTACGGCACGTACGGCAGTGCCCAGCGCGGGGGACTGCAGGGTCTGCACACCAGTCCACTCCGTTTTATTGAGCACCTTCTACAGGCCAGCTCCCCTCCTGGGCCCTGGGGCCACAGCAGTGAACAATCTGGCCAACACCCCAGTCCCGAGGGGGTGACGAGGACATACACACAGGTTACGTAGGGAAGGAGAGAACACTGCAGTGAATGACAGAGCACAGTCGTGGGGCCATGACAACTTCGTCCTTTACTCTGATGGAGCCGTGGGGGCTCTGGGGAGGGAGGGGCAGGCCCTGACTTGGGGGTTCACAGGGAGTCAAGGAGACAGCCGGCTTCTGTGATGATCCAAGGAGGAGACACTGGTCAGCAGGACTGGCAGAGGGCAAGGAGGAGAGGGCATGACAGGCTGCGGCAAGATTCTGAAGCTGGACTGCCAAGGTCACTGATGAGCTCGACAGGGACGTGGGAAAAACTGCTGAGGAAACCTCAGGGTCGATGCTGGAGCCGGCGACAGGGGTGAAGCGAGGTGAGTTCCAGCGGCCAGCAGAGGCCTGCCCTGGGGGGCGGGGACGAGCTCGGCCTCCTTGAAGCTCCTGGGGGCCCGGGGCACCTGCCTATGGTCTGGGGTTGCTGGATGCTGCCAGCCCAGTCCTCACAGCCACAGACCCCCCGATGTCGGCTGGGACCCCCTGCCGTTGCCCAGTGCCTCCCGGGTGGCCCAGGCTCTGCCCCTGCTCACAGCTGCACAGAGGCCCCTGTTCTGGCCATTTATTGAGGACCTTCTGCCCAGCACGAGGGAGGAAAGGAGATGGAGGACAGGAGTCGGTCCTGCCTCCTGCTGCGGGCCCCAGGAGCAACAGGTCACTCAGGGACTCAGAGAGGGCGGGCAGGGGAGGGTCAAGCCTGGAGCCGGGGTGTGAGTGACTCAGCCATGAGGAAGGTTCAGGAAAATAGGTCCCTGGGCCGGGCCTCTGCAACCCAGGCAGCAGTGACAACCGCTGGTGTGCGACGTTCTCAGCTGGAGGCCGCCTGGCCAGGGTCTCTGGGCTTCCGGGGTTGGTTGGGACCAATGTACTGGAGAGGCACGTGGGTGGGGGCCGAGATCCGATCGGTGCCGAGGTAGGGCTGGAGCGCTGGGGGCACGAGGACAGAGCCATCCTGGGGACAGAGGAGGCCTCAGGACACTGCCCTGCCCAGCCGGCCCCCTCCCTGGCGCTCGGGCTGGACCCACACCTTCTGCTGGTTGCTCTCCAGGAGGGCGATGAGGAGGCGCGGCACCGCGCAGGCCGTGGCGTTCACCTGGGGAGAGACGGCTCAGGTCCCGGCCCCTCGCCCCGACCCCTGACCCCCCTGGACACCCTGGCCCCGGGAGGCTGCTGGGGAAGCTCTGGGGAGGCTCTGGGCGGGCGGCCCTCACCGTGTGCGCGAACCGCAGCTCCCCGGCCTCGGTGCGGAACATGATGTGGAGGCGGCGGCTCTGGAAGTCAGTGCAGTTGGAGGCGCTGGAGACCTGGGGGTGGGAGGGGGCTGAGAAGGTGGCCACAGGGGCTGGCCTGTCCTCCCGCGCCCGCCTGAGGGCTCACCTCCCCAAAGCGGCCTCGGCCGGGCATCCAGGCCTCGATGTCGAACTTGCGGTAGGCGGGAAGGCCCAGCTCCTGGGTGGGCATGTCCAGGACCCTGCGGCCAAGGGCAAGGCCTGAGGAAGGCTGCGGCTGAGGGGAGCAGCGGAGGCCACGGAGGACAGACAGTGGCAGAGGGGAAGGGGTGGGCAGTGGTGTGGGAGAGGGTGGCACAGGAGGAGGGTGGGGCGGGGGACTGGTGGAGGGAGAGAAGGCCGAGCCCCGCAGCCACCCCCCCACCAGGAGCACCCAGCTCTATAAGGTCACCCGGAAAAAAGTGCCTTTCTCAGCTTTAGGGACGCGGGGACAGTGACGCCTGGGTCCTCCCTTTCCTGCCTGCTTTCCACTGGATAGAAAGAGGCGTCCTGGGCCTGCAATGGAGGCAGGGCCCTGGGGACGGGAGCAGCCAGGCCGCGTCTGCTCCCGGGAAGGACGACAGTGACAGACAGACATCCTGGACGTGGTCCTGTAAGCCTCATTCGGGAAAAAGGAGGCTCCAGATGGGGGAGCACCTAGCAGGTCCTTGTCCTCCTCAGCCCCGCCCTTGGCCACCCCCCAAGTGGCCCTCTCCGCACCGGAAGTGCAAGCCCAGCTCAGTCAAGATCTCCACCTGAAGGGACAGGAAGTCCTCCAGCAGCTGCGAGCTCTGCTCCAGCCCGGGGCCTGTCACTCCAAACATCTCCACCTGGGGCAGGGAGGGCACAGGGGTCAGGAGGCCAGGGGTGGGCGGGGGACACCCCTGCCAGCCAGCGCCAGCTGTGCCGACCTTGGTGAAGTGGTGCACGCGGTACAGCCCCCGGGGCTCCTTCCCCGTGTCCGTCTCGGCCCGGTAACAGGTGCTGGAACAGACCATCCTGGTGGGGAACAGGTGCGGTCAGACCAGGCAGGACAGAGTGAACGTCACAGGTTGGGTAGGGTCTAAAGGAACTGAGTGTCACCTGACTGGCAGGTCCCTGACAGCCACAGTGTGGTCCATGAAGTAACCTGGGAGGAGAAGGGGGCAGGATGGGGTCAGCTGAGGCTGCTGCTGCCCACAGGGTGACATTCAGAAAGGCATTCCTCTGGAAACAACGCCAGGTCAGAGTATGTGGCTGGACTGTCACTGTTGAGCAGTAAACAACCTACACAACTGTACATGTTGGCCCCTGTCCTGGGCAAGCTTCCCCCATCACTGTGTGTTCCCTGACAATCCTGCCATTCCTCACCGCTCCATCTGAGTAGGTGCTCACCTGCGAGCCCGACCTCGGCCGTGCCAGCCAAGTTGAGGTCTTCGAAGCGGGAGGGGTCAATGTTGTAAATTTGGGACGGGGTGGCATTTGGCGTCATCCCACAGCCTTCCTGGGGGAAGGCCATGGGGTCAGGCAACCTGGGTCTCCCCTAGTCCAAAGTCATAGCCCCTGGTCCCCCACAGAAGCATCGGGAATCACCCTGGCCTCCCAGTTATGGCCTGACCCCCTCGACTCAGCCCTGGGCACTATCCTCAGGGGGGCTGCTGGTCCCCCTGCCTCGGGTCCCCCACACAGGGCCTGCACCCAGGGCTTCACTCACGAACACGGCTCCTCGGAGAAGGTCTGGCACCGTCATGGGGGTGAAGCCCTGTGGGGGTGGTAATCGCATCAGGACCCAAGCTCAGTCCAGAGGATGGACATTGCAGAGTGAGCCGGTGGCACCCCTTGTCACCCCCAAGCCCACCCCACTGCAGGGAACAGCTGAAGGCCTGAGCAGGGGCCTGGGCTTGGGTGTCCCCGTGCTGGGGCTCTCGGCTGCAGTCCCTTCAGCTCCACTTCCCCCTCGTGGTCCCACACGGGCGGCTGGAGCTGTCATTCACAAGCACAGATCTGACTGTGCCCTCCCCAGTGCCCTCAGGAGAGGGCCAGTCCCTCGCCAGAGCCAACACCCCTGCAATCAGCCCGCTGCCCCAGGCTCCCCAAACCCTCCACATACACCGGGCAGCGAGGGGCGGGGCTGCAGCGCAGCCGGGAGCCAGCTCCGTGCCCAGCAGTCCCGGCCTCACATGGCCTCCCCGGGCCTCCCTGCTCCAGGCCTCGACCTCCCGTCTCTAACACGGGGTGACAGCACTCGCCTCGTTAGGTATCACAGGAATCAAGTCTGTCCAAGTGCAAGAGGGCTCCCAGAATGGCGACTGTTGCCGGGCACCCTGAACCCCCCCAGGTGGCCCCCCCTCCTGGCCCGTACCCGGCGGACCAGCTTGTTGAGGGTGAAGTTGACCAGACCGTGCTGCAGAAGGGCCCCTGCCCCGCGGAGGTAATAGGAGCGGTGGCCAGACACGTGGGACAGGCGCCTGGGGGACAAAAGACAAGCGGGTGCACATGGGCCAGGGCTGGTGGGGAGCGGCTCGGCACCTGGGCGAGGCCAGCTGCCAGGCAGGGCTGGCATCCAACATTCATGCTGGGCAGGGCCCCAGCCCTTTCTCATGCACGCAGAGCCCAGGGCAGGAGCGGGTGCCAGCTGCCAGGTGGGGACAGCAGGTACGGGGACAGGGCCTCACTTCTGACGGATGATGTCGAGCTTCTCGCCAATTTCCAGGTGGCCCCGGGGTTGGAAGGAGAAAGCTGGATGTGGGTAGAAAGCAGAGGGGTGAGGGGGAAGGAAGGGGGAGGAGGAGGAGGGTCTGGGGAGGGGGGAGAGCGGGCGAGAAAGGGCGAGGAGGGGAGGGGGGAGGCCAGGGAAGGAAGGGGGGAGACCAGCTGGGCGGGACGCAGGGGGATGGGGGAGAGTGGGGGAGGGCTGGGGGGAGGGGGCAGGGGTGCAGGAGGGCGGGGAAGGGCTGGGGAGGGGGGGGTGGAGGTGGGGGAGAGTGGGGGAGGCCCAGGGAGAAAAGCTGAGGAACAGGGACATGGAAGGACAGGGAGGCACAGGAAGGGAGAGTGAATCAGGCAGGGGGCGTGCGCAGAGGCGGGGAGGGGGTGATGGGGGAGGGGGAGGGGGTGTGGGTCTGGGGGAGGGGAGGGGGAAGGAGCTGACAACTGACAACTGCCCAGACACCCAAGCCCTCAAGACCAGAAGACATGCTGCCCCCCCCCAAGCGCCCGGTCCAGACAGCGCCCTGGGCCTGGGGCCTGGCCCACCTGGCTTTTCTCCGACTACATGGAGCACTCGGGCCTGGCTCTCATCCCCGATGGGCTGCAAGGAGACAGGTCGTTGCGGCGGGCGGCCTGGGGGCCGGTCCTCCCCCGCCACCCAGCATGGCACTCACGGCGTCTGGGTGGGTCTGGTTGGGCAGCCTCAGCGCCCGCACGTAGAACCGCTCCTCGAGCTGGGTGTTCCTGGGGTACAGGGGCGCGAGCTTCTTCCGGATCTCCCGGCCACGTGCCCGTAGAGCCTGGTATTGAGGGTCCTGAGGAGGGAAAGGGGGTCAGCCCGGACAGAGTGGAGCCCCCAGCCACGGACCTCAGTCTCCCGCAGGGCCTATGGGACCCTTCTTCTGGCCCCGCATCCTGAGCCGCCTCTCAGGAACCTCCCCCACCACACGGCAGCTCCCGGGACATCCTATTGCTCTGGCCACCGGGACAGGCTCAGAGACGGACATGTGACCTGAGATGAACTCATGAGACCGACCCCAGGACCTGGCTGGAGCCACCAGGACTGTATGCCTGACCCCTCATCCCCTTCCCCAAGGGGACGACGCCGGGCTGGGGATGCCAGGAAAGCACAGCAGCCACACCCGAAGGAGCCGAGGAGCCGGCTCTCCCACTACCACCATGCTGCCTCCCTGCCCACCCACCAGGCCCACCAGGCCGAGGTGGACGCCCTGGGTACCTGCTGCACTTGGCTGCTGTCCTGGTTCACCTGGTGGAAAGAGATGGGGGATTAGCAGGATCAACGCGCAGGGTGAAGGTCAGCCGAGGCCAAGGGATCTGAGGCTCTGCGGTCACTGCTCCGCTGGGGCCTTCCCCCTGTTTCTGCTGGGAAGCCACAGAGGCCAGGCGACAGTGACCACACCTGCGGCTGTGTTTGTTTATTTATGTGTTTTCATTTGGGGCATACCTTAGTTTTCTCAGGGGGGCTCTACCACTGAGCCACGTCCCCAGCCCTTTTTACTTTTTATTTGATTCTTGCTAAGTTGCCAAGCCTGGCCTTAAACTTGAGATCCCCTGCCTCAGTTTCCTGAACGTCTGGCATTGCAGTGTACGTGACCGGCCGGCTGCAGCTGCATTTATCCCCTGCCCCTCCTGCCAGGCTCTGGGTGACAGGCCTCACATGACCTTACCTCACGGCCACTCGGTGAGGCCAGCGCAACGTGATCCCCATTTGGAGATGAGGAAACTGAGGCTCAGGGAAGGAAAAGTCTGAGAATGTGGACCCAGAGGCCTGCACCCAAGGGCTTTGGATGTTCTGAACCTTCCATGATCCAGAGCAGCTGAGGGCATCAGACAGGTGTGGGTCTAAATGCCAAGGTGCCCACCAGTGCTGTGCCCTTAGGCCAATCTCTTGCCCTCTCTGGGCCTCAGTCGCCCCATCTGTGATGTGAGACGATGGCAGGGCCTCCCTGGCAGGGAGCTGGGCAGCTTCTCCCTGAACACTGCAGTGAGCTCTGCTCACTCATGAGGCCACCTGCCTCATGCACAGCCCAGGGCCCTGCACAGGGAGATGGAGTCCCTGGGGGGCAAGGCCTCTGCAATTCCTGACTGCAGGACTGAGGCACATCTGCCTCTGGGGTCTCAGTCTCCCCAGATGAAACCCTGGGCTGGCACTGTTCCTGTCGCAGAGCTGCTGCCAGGATGAGGAATCTGGGCAGCACCGGCCAGTGCCTGGTGCGCACTGAAGGCTCTGTAATGTCTGCCATGGGGGGACGGGACCCCGGGCCTCGTGCTCTCTACCACTGAGCTGCAGCCCCAGCCCTGAGGTTGTTTTCGAGCCCTCTGTGGCAGAACCTCTTGGTTTCCTAACCTGGGATTCCTGCTTTCCCCTTCCCCATGGAACCTGCTCCACTGGACCCTCCCCAGGCAGTCGATGGTGCGTCCAGCTGAGGCCGACTCGGAGCAGCCTAGGCCGGCAGCAGGGCCTCCATCCCCCTGCTGATGACGGGTGTGGCGTGGGGCCTGGCCCAGGAGACTGAGGGGTCTCTGCTTAGGGAACCGTCTCCCTGCTCCTGGAAAAGGCATCAGGCCAGAGAAGTCTGTTTCCTCCCCTGGCGGAGTCAAGCAAGGCGATGGCGCACTGCGGCAGCCACCATGGAGCTGAGACAGAGACCGAGGGCAGGCAGGGCACCGACGCTGCAGGTGCAGAGGGACAAGGGCCTGGCGGGGGCACGGGGAAGAGCTGCTAAGTCACCCTAGGGATGCCGGGTCCTGGCCACTGTTCCGTGAAGCTGTCGTGTGCACAGGTTTAAGCGCCTGTACTGGGAGGGACCCTCACTGCCGCTCCCCACCCGCTCAGGGCCCATGCTCACCAGCAGGGCCCGCACGGCCTCTGTCACAGCCTCCTTCTCTGCCTCCAGGCTCCGGATCTGCTCTCGAAGCTGCCTCAGCTCCTGCCACACTGCAATCTGGGGGTGGACGCAGGACGGGAAAGGTGAAGCCCTGGCTCCCCTCTGCGGCCTCGCCCTGCTGGTCACCTGGCCCGGTGGTATTCCCAGGCAGAGGCCCCCCCCCCCCCCCCCCCCCCCCCCCCCCCCCGCTGTCCCCAGCAGCCTTTCTCCCCACCCCCACTCAGAAGAACCTTTCCTGATGTTTTGGTGGCACGTGGGGCCCCAACGAAGACAAACTCCACCCTCCCTGGCAGCTGCTCTTGTCCACGTGACCAAGACATGGACGTGCCTGTGACTCTTGGGTCACCTCCCTAAAGATAAGACCCCACCCCGGACTTTCTTTTGCTCACTCCCCTTGGACTAGACCATGGACCCGGAGAAAGGCCGACCCCTGCAGAAACCGATTCCAGGCTTAAGGAGTGACCCAGAGTAACGGGTGTGGACTGCGCGTCAGTGTCCCCTGATCCAAGTTTTTTGGGTTTTGGTACTTACTGGGGACTGGACCCTGGGGTATTTACTGCTGAGCTACATGACCACCCTTTTTAAAAATTTTGAGACCGGTCTCACTAAGCTGCCCAGGTTGGCCTCAAACTTGGGGTCCTCCAGCCTTAGCCTCTGAGTCACTGGGATCAGACATGCACCTCTGCACCCAGACTGTGTCCCCGGCCCCCCCAAATTAATATGCTAAAATCCTAAATCTCAACGTGAAGGTATTAGAGGCGGGGCCTTTGGGAAGTCCTGAGGAGCACAGTTAGTGCCCTTGTAAAAGGGATCACAGAAGCTCCCTCCCCTCCCACCACGAGGACGCGGAAGATGACATCTACGAACCAGACACCAAATCTGCTGGTGCCTTGACCTTGAACTTTCCAGTCTCCAAAACTGAGAAACAAATCTGTTTATATAAGCCCCCAGGTCTGAGTGTTGTTACAGCATCCCAGACTACAGCAGTGAGTTGTAAATTAACATTTAGGTTTCTAAACTAACACTCCAAAAAATCACAGTATGATGTGCGTGACATAAAGTCTACCATTTTACCATTTAGAAGTGTACGGCTGAGTGAGGTTAAGTACACTGCGGAGGTGCCATCGCCATCGTCCAGCTCTAGAATGGCTCCATTTTTCCCAACTGAAACCCTGTCACCCTTGAACAGGGACTCCCCAGCCCAGCCCTACCCCAGGCCCGGTCTCTGTGAGGTATTCCAGGTATTTCACAGAAGTGGAAAAAATGCGACGGTTGCCCTTTTGTCCTGAGCAGAACGTCTTCAAGGACCACCTGGGCCGTGGCACGGGTCAGGATTTCCTTTTTAAGGATGCATGAAATCCCACAGCGCGTGCACGTCTCACTTCCTTTCTCACTCATTCATGGAGGGACACTCGGTTGCTTCTACCTCACTGCTCCTGCCAACAATGCTGCTGTGAACGCGAGTGAACAAATATGTGTCTGAGCTTTCCGTTCTTTTGGATAATCACCCAGAAGTAGAACAGCTGGACCACGTGGTGATTCTGTATTAACTTTTTGAAAACTGGCAACAGGACCGTGGCAGCTCACTGTTTTACACTTCTATCTGCGATGTAGAGGACTCTAATTCCTCCTAACATAATTCTTGACAATGTTTATTTTTCTGTCCCCCACCCCATGATGGAGAAATGGAAAATGCTCTCTCTACCCTGAGCTCCACCCCAGTCCTATTTTGTTCTTAAACAGCCATCCTAAAGGGCATCTGTCCACTTTCTGCTTTTATAACAAAATACCAGAGGCTAGGTCATGTATAACAGAAAGCAGATCACGGTTCCAGAGGCTGGAAGTCCAAAATCAGATGACAGCATCTGTCGAGGGCCTTGAGCTGTGGCACAACTTGGCAGGAAAGTGGAAGGGCGAGTGGGTGTGAGTGAGACAAACGGGAGCGGTGGCCTGTCTTTATAAACACCACTCTCAAGGGCTGGGGCTGGGGCTCAGCGGTAGAGCGCTTGCCTCGCACATGTGAGGCATTGGGTTTGATCCTCAGCACCACATAAAAATAAATAAGCAAAATAAAGAAATTGTGTCCATGGATAACTAAAAAATATTTTAAAAAACCACTCTCACGTCAGGCTCAGTGGCTCACGCCTGTAATCCCAGCTGCTCTGGAGGCTGAAACGGGAGGATTACCGGTTCAAAGCGGGCCTCAGCAACAGGGAGGCACTAAGCAATTAAGTGAGACCCTATCTCTAAATAAAATACAAAACAGGGCTGAGGATGTGGCTTAGTGGTTGAGTGTCCTTAAATTCAATCCCAGGTACCTCTCCCCCCACAAAAAAAAAAAAAAAAAAACTACTCTCAAGATAACTGACCCATTCTGGAGGGAAAAGTATTAATCCCTCTTAATGTCATCGCCTCTGAAAGTTCCCCCTACCTCTTAACGCTGTTATACTCAGGATCAATATGCACCATGAGTTTTGGAGGAAACAAACCACATCCAGATCATAGCAGGGTCTAATCAATCACTTTAAAAACAAAAGTGAATTAAAAAAAAAAAATTTCTTCACACATGCTAAGAACAGAAAACTTTGGTTTCAATTGTGGGTGTGTGAAATGTATTTCTTACTTTTGGCCACAAAGACTGGAAAACCCTACCAAAGATTGTGACACTCTAAGTTACCTTCCATTACGCATTGGCTCTTGTAAACACTGGTCCCTCCACTTGGAACACACCTGTTCCCTCAATTTCTGGATCTCACGCAATCCACTAATCTTTACCTAATGCCACCCACCTCCTGAGCCCTCTCAGACATGCTCTACTTTGCCTCCACAGCACTTATCACAGATTATAATTACGTATTTATAACTGTATGTGAAATACTTCTTTAACTAGACTGAACTCGGATCATCTTACTCATGGGAGAGAATAATGGAGCAAAGACTGGATTCTGGAGTCAAGACAACACAGGTTTGGGGCTGGGCTTGTAGCTCAGTGGTAGAGTGCTTACCAAGCACATGTGAGGCATTGGGCTCGATCCTCAGCACCACATATAAAATAAAATAAAGGTACTGTGTCCAACTACAACTAAAAATTTTTTAAAAGATGAAGCTGGGGATATAGCTCAGTTGGTAGAGTGCTTGCCTCCCATGCACAAGGCCTGGATTCGATCCCCAGCACCACCAAAAAAAAAAAAAAAGAAGAAGAACACGACACAAAATTCCCTCCCACTCTATCACTTACCAACATCATGATCTTGGGCAAGTTCACCTCTCTGAGCCTTAGTTTCCCCTCTGATGTAATCAGGGAAATAACAGCACTTAGTTCATAGGGCTGTTGCAAAATTAAGTGAGGCTAAAGTCTAAAAACCATTTAGAACAGGCTAGTAAAGAATCCAAGAAAGGCTGGTAAGACTTGGGGACCTCATTATATTCAGCCCACCTCTAGATACACGGTGACCCTGGTTCTAGTTTCCTAGCATGTAATGTTATACAAGTGCGAGTGACGTTAGTATTTATTCACCGCCTTTTCTCAACGCCTGGAACACTGAAACGCAGTAGGCGCTTCTTAAAACACCTGCTCAATGAAACCATTCATTCATTCTTTGGTTTGGAACCAGGGACTAAACCCAGGGGCACTCACCACTGAGTCACATCAGCTCTGTTTATGTTTTTGAGATAGGGTCTTGTTGATTAGCACCGTGCTAAACTGCTGAGGCTGGCTTTGAACTCGCGATCCCCCTGATCCCCCTGCCTCCAAGCCGCGGGGATCGCAGGCGTGCACCACCGCGCCCAGGGAAGCGTCCATTCTTAAACTCTATTCACCTGCTCGTTCCTCGCTCTCTCCAAGAGCTTCACCCCTCATCCCCATCTGACTCACACCCCGTTCCTAATTTTCTTTGAGGACTTAGAGCAAGCCCGGCGAGAGGCTGGACTACAGAGGGTCCTGGTAATAGTCAATTCCTAGAGCACAGTGGGAACCCAGCGCACATTACGAAACAGACGCAAGATGGCACAGAAAGCATCTGTGGCATATAGTAAGGTCTTAACATATAGCAGGGACAAGCGCCACATAAGTGAGTGCCAAGCACAACATACTGGCTAAACCCGAAAAGAAACTAAAAATTCCTGCAAATAGCTGCCCCCGGCGCCCCCTAGCCACCGAAAGCACGTCTTGCAAGCCCAGTCAGCTGGCGCAAGCGCACTCACGATCGCGGGCAGATCAGCCGGCCGCAACTCCCCCTTGCGGAGGTCCAGGGCACGCGCGACCTCTTCTGGGCATGCGCACAGAGGCTCCATATCCAGCTGAGGGAGAGCGCTATAGCCCTCGCGCGCGTGCTCGTACAGAAGGTTCCGGTCTGGTTTCTCTGCAGCGAAACTCCTCCTTGGGTTCTGGCTGGAGACACAGTTTCCCTGGGGCCGAAGCCCTCGACGAGCCAACAAAGGCCACAAACGCCGAGCCATGGACGCAGCCATCTTGGACTGGGAACAAAGAGTCACACACTCTTTATCCCGCCCACTCCGCATTTACACCAATTAAAAAGCAGCTCTACTGCTCGGGATGAGCCAATCAGACTCTGGAAGAGATTATCTTTCCAGTGCCTTAAAAACTGTTCAATGGGGAACGTGGACTGGGATAGACTCTTCTGTGGTCCAATCATCGTCTGAGCCCCACCCCGCCAGGGACGAATGAGCCAATCACTGTCTCCGTAGCACCCGGAAAGGGCTTGAGGCACTGTTCAGCGTGTCTGCGGACGGTGCGAGGGTCGGTGAGGTCAGTGCAGTCCTTAGCTCTTGCCAACCTCCCCGGCCCAGTTTCCCCTTTCCTTCTGCATGCGGACGAGGGCGTCTGGGTCCCGGGGATCCTGGTCAGAGCGAGGCTAAATTTGCGAAAGGACTCTGGCTGTGTGGTTAGACCTTTAGAGGAGGCTCCTTAGGTTCTGAGAGCGGGACTGGGAGAGTCTGACACCTTTTGCGACTACGGCCACTTTATCCTCCTTTCTGAGTCTCTTAATCCCTAACACAGGGACCCACCAAGCGGCAGGATGTCCTGGTCATATCTTCTCCGTGGTCTCAACATGGCCCTAAGTCGTGGTAAGTTGGGGGCTTGGGCTGCAGGGACAGAGTTCTCCTCCTTGGGACTTGAGCACCTCTGTCAGAGCCCCGATGGAATCAGTGAGTTTAAATCAGTTCGTACCTGGTCCGTTTCTGGGGGGGATGTGGGTGCAAGAGCAAGAGGTGGTGGGAGGTAGATGCACTGATGTTTACTATGACTATTACAGTCATGCCCCGCATAACGACGTTGAGGACCATATACGCAGTGGTGATCCCATTAGATTATATTGCCCAGTGATGTCCTAGCCTTCTTAGTTTAAGAACAACATAAGATCGCACAACAAGGAAATTGGCTACGATTTGGGGTGCTGAGGCATACACCTGTAAGCCCAGAGACTTGGAAGGCTGAGGCAGGAGGATCCTGAATACAAAGCTAGCCTCAGCAATTTAGCGAGGCCCTGAGCAATTTACTGAGACCCTGTCTCAGAATAAAACATAAAAAGGGATGGGATGTGGCTCAGTAGTTGAGCACCCCAGGCTCAGTCGTTGGTACCAATGGGAAGAATAAGTGGCCAATGTCTTCTCACTTAAGTTCACCTGACTCTATTTGTTCCTTCTGCAAGTTATTATTAAATACCTCTCATGGGTTAGACATCCAAGCAAGGCCTTTAGCCATTCATTCAATTGATGTTTATCCTGAGCCTACTAGGTGCCAAGCACTGAAGGAATTTCTCAGGCATCCTGCCCTCTGAGACATTTCATTCACCTATTTACTCTGCCAACTTTTCTTAAGCCCCTCTGTTTGCCATTCCCCGAAGATCACAAAGGTGGGCAGGACAGGCCTGCTCCCTGCCTTGGGAATCAGAGCTAGCTGGAAATGCATTGATTCGTGGTAGTTTCATACACACTACTGAGGAGGGAGACATGATCATAGTGCCCAGGAAGCAGATGAGGAAACCAAGGCACTGTCAGGCCAAGAATCTTGCTCAAGGACTCATCACTAGGCAGTCACTTCTAGAAATGACTCATTCCTTTTGAGGATTCTGCTGTCACTTTTTTTTTTTTTTTAGTTATAGATGGACATATTCCCTTTATTTTATTTATTTATTTTTCTATGGTGCTGAGGATCAAGCCCAGTGCCTCACATGTGCTAGCTAGGCAAGCCACTCTGCCACTGAGCTACACAGCCCTCTACTGTCACTCTTACAGAAGGAGACACGGGAGTTGACAAGAGGCCAAGGGCCTGCTGGATATGTAGTGTGAAGTTGTGGTGCTGATGGGGTATCTATGCTAGTGACAGAGAGGAAGAGGAGGTGGATAGATGTATGACACTGTAACCTCAGCCCAAGAACTTGCACAGGGCCCAGTGCTCCCCATTGCTGCTATGTCTGTATTATTGGGGCCAAGACATAGTAGGTGCTCAGTGAAATTTTGTTTCTGAGAAGCCAGTTGTCTTTGAATCTTCTTATATCCTACATCGAGTCTATGAGTAAATCCTGGTGGTCTTCATTGGAAATATATCTACCTCCCCTACCACCTGCCTTTTCTTAGACTACATCACAGTCACAATGGTCTCTTTGTTGGTGTTGGGGACGTGGCTGGAGCAGCATGAGAAAATGAGCCAGTGGGCAGAGAAGTAATGGGCAGATTGTACCTTGTGGGTCACCTTTCCCCGATGGCGATGGAGCCACCGCAGGGATCTGAATAGGGGAGGGATATGAGCTACTCGCATTGTGACTCCCCCTGGTTGTGTGCTCAGGAACAGGCTGAAGATGCAGGGAGACCTGGGAGCGGGAGAGGTGCGATTAGCCCAGGCTGAGGACGAGGCTGGGGCAGACTCAGATGGGCGCGGGCAGGAGGGAGAGAGCTGGTGGGTTCTGACCTGAGGTGAAGGCAGAACTTCCAGGGTGTACCCACAGGTTGGGCAGGGGTTTAAGAGGGTCACAACACCTCCAGGAATACCCAGAGGGCTGCGGCAGTGATGGCACAAGTGTCTGTCCCTGCAACACGGTGTAAGTGCTCGTGCTCCGTGTCACCATGTCTAAGCAGCATTCAGGTGAGCGCCTTTTTTGAAGAATATCATGAGTTAATTTATGTAAAATGCTTAAAACAATCTCATGGGAGGTGGTTGCTCAGTAAATAGCTGTCATCTCTGTTGTCCCTAATGCCCCCAGAGGTAAGCCAGTGTGGCCAGGTAAAGTGCTTGGGCGGATGCCAGGACACCAGCGTGGAGTTAGGATGCTGTCATCTGTGTGCTGGGGTGATAACCCCTTTCCACTCTCCCCGCTGTATCTTTCCAGGCCTGGCCCTGGTACCCCAGCTCTGCGCCACCCGCCCCATGGCTACACTGAACCAGATGCACCGTCTGGGGCCCCCAAAGCGCCCGCCCCTGCGCCTGGGCCCCACGGAAGGCCGGCCGCAGCTGAAGGGCGTTGTTCTGCGCACGTTCATCCGCAAGCCCAAGAAGCCCAACTCCGCCAACCGCAAGTGCTGCCGCGTCCGGCTCAGCACAGGCCGCGAGGCTGTCTGCTTTATCCCCGGGGAGGGCCACAACCTGCAGGAGCACCACGTTGTCCTTGTGCAGGGTGGCCGCACCCAAGACCTGCCAGGAGTGAAGCTCAAAGTTGTGCGGGGCAAGTATGACTGTGGCCACGTGCAGAAGAAGAAGTGACCAGCCAGTGCGCTGAGGCCTGGGCACCTGCAGAACAGGGACGTTCCTTGTGGGGTCTCCAGCGGGTCCTTCAAAGTCAGCTCTTCCTGTTCTAGAGGCAGCCGGTCCTGGGTTCAAAGCCCAGCTCTGCCTCTTCCTTCAGGAGCACCATAGCCCATAAGGTTCCCTGGGTGCTGTCAGCACCCTTGGCTTCTGTGTTTAGAGTTGGCCTGAGGGGCCTCTTCTGCCATCACCTGGGAAGCACACAGGTCCCCACGGTTGTGAGGCAAACCGTCCCCACCTTTCTGCAGCATTTGCCCTCTCACTGTGGCCCTGGCAGCTGCCATCCTTTCTGGGCCTCAGTTTGCTCTTCCAAAAAATAATCCCATTTGCAGTATCCCCTCCGTTTCGTTTGGTGAAGATTAAACTACATGCCTCTGTGTACAGTGCATGTGTGTAGGGCTGTTCTAAGCTTTGAAGTCAAATAGGCAGCACTGAAACCCTTCCCACAGGTCGAGCGAGGGGCAGGGCACAGACAGCCCCACCCTCGAGTGTGGGCACTGGGCAGTGGCAGCCACTCATTGAGGTTGAAGGGTGCTGAAAGGGTTTAACAGCCCCTCAGAGTTCAGCAGAGCATCTTGCTGGGTCTGTAGACAGGATGCTGCCTGGTTCATGAATTGCTAACAAAAGCCAGTTACATCTTTAAAAAAGAAAAAGGATTAAACGGGGTGTGCTGCCTGACTCCATGTAGTGACTCACACGCCTGGGTTCAGCCTATAGCGGCCCCCCCTCTGGGCCTCTGTTTCCTGCCATGGGATCGCAGGCCTGGCCATATTTGAATTTAAGCTGTGGGAGTTGTGTTTTCGTCAAGGACTCTGGAGCCCAGGCCTCCCCTGCACTGGCCTGGTGAGCTGTAATAATAGGTCATTTAAATGGCATTGATAAGGACACCTGCTGAGAGCTGTTGGGAAGACCCCTGAGGGCAGAACTGGGAGCCACTCAGCTGTAGCCCTCTGGGTTCTGGAAGCTCATCTTTGTGCCAGAAGCATGCACAAAGATTGTAAACACGAAACTGCGGGTCCTTTAAAAGACCAGAGCTGGAGGTGAACCATTATACTGATTATAGACAAAAAAACACCTGTTACCTCATGTTTAGCACCAATTTTATTGAGCTGGTTGGCTGGTTGACCATGCCCGGAAATGAGGAAAGAGCTCCTGGCACACCTTGCTCAAGAAGTCTCTATACAAGATGGTGTGAGTGCAGGGAAGGAGGGTGGATCCGGCTGGAGCTGAGGGCAGGGACCTGGCCCCAGGGGAGGTGCTGGTGGGCAGCGGGGTGGACATTGCTCAGCAGTGGCGGGTTCACAGCCCCACAGCTGGATCCCGGAGACTCCCCAAACCACAATGGGATTTCTTTGAGGTCTTTGCTGGTCTCCAGGTCAGATGCTCTGAACGGCCTCCTCTCCCTGCCAGCAGTCAGCTCACCCCAAAACACGCAGACCAGTCACCAGGGAATGGTTTACCCACTGACATCACATGAGGAAATAATTTATAGACATGAACCAACTAAATGTCAGTTACTTTTACGACATCCCCAGCTGGGGAGCTGAGGAAGCTCTAAGGAGCCCCCTGGGTCCCTGGTTTGTCACACAGCATGAGGACCGCCATGCTGAAACAGCAAGTGGGTTACGGGAGGTGTGCCCCGAACAAGCCACACGGGACCCCCACTGTCCCTGAGTATCCTCTGGCCCGGGGATGTGAAGCCACCCTTGATTTTGACAGCATCCAGCAGGTGGCAGTGCAGTCTGGACTGCGGGGTCAGGCTGGTCACTAGGACGGGCGGATCCTGATTCTCACGCTGGAGTGGGTCACTAGGGCACCGTAGTGTCCTACCCATGAACGCATGTCTCTCCCGTACTGCTCAAAAGACACGTAGCGGATGCCCTTGCCAAAGTTGGTGAAGACATGGGAGACCTGCGGGAGGAGAAGGAGGGGTCCTGTGCTCGCCTCTTCGTCGCCTCAGCAGGTGCTCCCGAATACCCAGCAGGCACCTGTGGGCCCTGCTGGGGGTGCTTGCAGTGTTGGGGAACAGCAGTGAGGCCAGCAGCAAAAAAGACAAGCACACAGGGTAAGGACTGTGGTTCACCTTAATAGTACCCTGCAAACAGTAGGCGCTCAATGTTTGTTGAAGGCTGTTGTGCTAATACATCTGCAAACATCCTGGAACGAGGCCTGGGATGTGATGTAAAAAGGGTTCAGAAACCGTCAGCTATTACTACTGGTGTCCAGCCGATGACAGCGGAGAAGGGAAGCCCCGCAGGGTGACAGATTGGACGGGTGGGCCTTGGAGGGAGGGGGTCGAGGGTGAGGGGAAGGCGCTCTGGACCCACCTGTCGGCAGCTCCTCTCAGTCCATTGAAGGACCGGGTTGGGGGACGCTGAGAACTTGACCACTTCATTTTCATACATGTCCAGGAGGCGGACCCGAAGCCGGTAGATGCAGCCGCAGTTTTCTCGGGCGCCCCACCTGCCGGGTGGCAGTGAGCCTTGATTCTCCTGCAACCCAGCCAGCTCCTTCTGGGTTGGGCATCAAGGAGGGAGGCTGAGGCTGGTTTTCTCTGCACCCAGATGAGGGTCCTACACACCTACACGGCTTGGGCATCTCCAGGGGCGGAGCCTGGTCCTGGGATGGAGCCAGAGTCCGTGGGGGGAGCCTGGGTGCCCCCGGAGAGGAGTGGAGCCTGGAGGGCCGTGTGTGTGTGTGTGTGTGTGTGTGTGTGTGTGGAGGGGGGGGGGGCTACACTAGGGTGTGTGGGCTGTGACGCCCCGGGCCCCAGCCACAACCTAGGGGAGGAGCCCGAAGATCTGGAGAAAGAACTGGAGCCCCAGGGAAGAGACGGAGTGCTGTGCAGGGAACCTGGGTGCTCTGGAAGGAGGGAGCTCGTGTACGCTCATGGTCCCCACCCTAATTGTGCTTCCTCTGAACGTCAGTTCTTAGGGCATCACGATGCTTTCAGAAGCCTTGGACCTTAGGGTCAACGCAGAGTTGGGGATGATGGTGACATCAGACCAGTTGCTGGACTCATGTGAACAACCCAGGGGTCTGCTGGGAAGAGGGTGGGGAGGCGGGCATAGCCGGTGCCTTGGGCTCACCAAGGGTCCGCCCCTCCCTGGCTGTGCAACTACAACAGTCTCACTTCACCGGAAGAGTGTGCATTTCCAGCCTGACCTCCGATGGAGGCCTGAACTGAGGTCTTGCTGCGCCACCACCGTGGCTCACCTCCGTGGCTCCAGGACAGACTGCTACTCCACTCACCAGTCGGCCACGCAGATCTCGATCTGGGCGCTGTCCAGCAGCTCCTGCCACACGCCCTCCATCACCAGGTCCACAAGCTGCCTCTTAAAGCACCATCTGGGAGGGGAGACGCAGGAGATGGAGCACACAGTGCTGATCTTCAAGCTGCACCTAGAAATCACCTCCTCCAGGACGCTTCCTCGGATCACTATGCCTAAAGTAGCGGCTCAGGGTTTGCTTTCCAGGATAGGAAGATGCCCGATAGGCTGTGTCACTGTGTCACTGTGCTGGGCATCTCTCCTTGTGTCTCAGATCCCCTCCCCTTTTTCCACCCTGTCTGGGCTCCAGGAGGCTGACCTATATACCAGCCTGCCCTGAGTGCTTGTGGGGGACTGGGGTATGAGTGCAAATGGAGGTCACACAGTGGATACACAAGCAGGGAGTTCCTGGGCCTCCTAAAATGTGGGGGCCCATTGGGCATGGTGGTGGGTACCTGTAGTCTTAGCTACTTAGGAGGCAGAGGCAGGAGGATTGCTTGGGCCCAGTTTGAGACCAACCTGAAGTTTGAGACAAGGTCCAGTCTCAATTAAAAAGAAAAATAAAAATGTGTGGGGTCCCAGGGCCAAGGTCGCATGATCTTTAATGGCATTGTCACCCTTATTTTCTGCTTCCTGATGGTGGGCCAATGGGGTGCTGCAGCAGGAGATGCAAGGAAGGGAACAGAGTAAAAGTCAGGCTAATCCTATGGGGTCCATCCTGAGAGACGGCTGTGTCTCTCAAAGGAAGACACAGCACCTCAGCACCCTCTGCTTACAGCCTTCTCTGTCCTTTTTAATAGCTGCTTCCTCCCTTCCCCTGAAGGCTGGAGGCGGCAATGTCCCTCCTCTTCTTCATTACTAGCCCAGCCCTGGGGTCCGGTAGGATCCCGTGTAGTCTGCCCAATATTTACAAACAGTTCCTTTTCCTAATTTGAATGTAAGATACTAACAGAAATAGTGTAGCCCTCTTTGAGAATACAACAGACATTGATCTGTGGAGAAGAAGAGTGTGAGCGACAGACCTAAGTATATATGCATACGTCATAAATGATACAGACAGAAACACCATTCTATGGGGAATGGAAGGATTCTGTAGCAGACAGTGCTGGGAAAACTGCCTCAGTATATGGTATGTGGGGAGTTGGTCCTTACATTCAAGAGTAAAGATCTAATGTAAAGAGCTGTGAGGTTACTAGAAGAGAATATGAGATATATAAAAGGCCATTGTCAAGATCTAGGGTGGGTGGCTGGGATTGTGGCTCAGCAGTAGAGTGCTCCCCTAGCATGGGTGGGACCCGAGTTCGATCCTCAGCACCACATAAAAATAAAGACATTGTGTTGTGTCCATCTACACCTAAAAAATAAATATTAAAAAAAAGATCTAGGGTGATGAGGAATTGTTTTAAAACAAAATTTCAAGAATACAATTTTTTTCAGTTCTGAGTATCAAACCCATGGCCTCATGTATGCTAGGGAGTCGCTCTCTTTCTAAGCTATACCCCCAGCCCAAGAATACATATTCTAAAGCAAAAAGAGAGAGATTAGATCACAAAGAAATAACAGATTTCTGCCAACAAAGAATATAGTTAGAAGAGATGGCAGATTGGGAAAAAATTTCTGCCATTCCCAGAATGGACAAAGGACATCTAGACTACAAGGAATTCCCTCCCTCCCCCTCTTCCTTCCTTCCTTCACTGAGGATTGAACCCAGGGCCATTTAACCACTAAGCCATATCCCCAGCCCTTTTTAAATTTTGAGACAGGGCATCACTAAGTTGCTGAGGCCAGCTTTGAACTTGCCTTCCTCCTGCCTCAGCTTCCCAGGCTGCTGGGATTACAGGCGTGCACCACCACACCCAGCAAGACTACAAGGAATTCTTGCATATTTTAGGAAAAAGATTTCAGTCCTAATGGAAAATATGAACAGGCAATTTACAAAAGAATGAATTTTAAAAGCTAGCAAGTACATGAAGACATGCTTCATTATTAGTAAACATAACAATGCAAAGTAAGCAAAGAGATATCACTTCACCCATATGTAGTGGCAATGACTAAAAAGCTAAGTAATGCCACACGGGAACGTTTACCTAAAGGAAGAGGACAAGCAGAATGAGTATGGGGTGGGGTGAGGGGGCGAGGACAAGAGAGAATCAACTAATTAATCAAATAGTTTTGATGTCTTCATAGTATTTATCATGATCAGAAGCTCTGGGACCATATCCCCGGCCCAGCTCCATCACTAGATATTAATTTCTCTCTGAGATTCAGTGTCCTATTATAAAGTGTCCCAAGGGTTGTTGGGACAACAACCGTGTCATAGGGTTGTTGCCAAAATTGAATTACATGTAAAGCGTGTAGCATAGGCTAACCCCTCTAAAATGCTTGTTGTGTTGTTATGTTACTGTTTGTGTTTGTCCCCCCAACTCTACATTTAAAATGAAAAAGAAAAACGGGCACATTGCCAACGTTTCTAATTTTTCCTTGTATCTCTGGCCTACAAAACTGCCTGGAACCTAGTACTTTGCAGGCTTTCAACAAACGTTTCATAAATGGATGAAAGAGGAAAGAGACTGAAGGTAGGAACAAGGATGGTGAATCGGGTCCCTTTCCCTCTTTCGGCCGTTGCCCCACGAACAAGGGTCACTCACTCGAAAGAAGTCACAAAGCAGGTCTGGGAAGGGGCCCCTGGCACCAGTGTCAGGTTCTTTTCCACGGCCCAGCCATTTCCTCCATGCTCCACCTCCCAGCCTCTGAAGCCCTCTGTGAGAACACAACAGAGTTGAATAAAAGACAGCCTCAGGCCAGGTGGCCCGGCAGAGTGCCCCTCATCACCCAACTTGCCCCGCCCACCAGACCTGGCATGTGGTATTCCTCTTCCCACAACCTCGCCACACAGCCCGCCCATCCACTCAGCTTCTCAGCCCCATTCGGTCCTTCCTCCTCGGTCCCGCCCCTGTGTTGCCCTCCCCTCAATCTCTGCAGCTACTGGCACAGCCCGGGTTCCCTCCTCGCCCGCCCACTCTCCGGGTTTCCCGCCCCTGCAAGGTGGTCCAGGCCTCCTATGCAAGCTCCGCCCCCTCCAGCCTTCAATTGGCTTCAGCCCAGCACGCCCCTGGCTCCACTTCCTAGGCCACGCCCACTGGGCTTACCTCTCCAGCTTCCCGACTCAGCCTCGCCTCCTGGGCCCTCCAGCCGCCTTGCCTATTGGTTATATCTCAGGCCCTGCCCACAGCCCTGCCCTGGCCCCGCTCGCCCCTCAGTCTCGCGGGGCCTCACACCCCACAGGTCTCCACAGTCCCCCGCCCCCGGCCCGCCACATCTTCCCGCCCCGCCCGGCCCCGCCCCCGACACGCCCCCGCCCCGGCCCCGCCCCCGGCACGCACGCTCTCCGCAGGAGTTGAAGATGAGGTTGCGGCCGAGGGGCGCCCGCAGGCAGTAGCGCGCCAGGGCGCAGAGCGGGAGCTCTTCTTCGTCGTCGTCGCTTGGTGGGCAGCGCTGGGCCAAGGCGTAGAATGCGCGGCCTTCGGCGCTGCGGTCGCGGGCCAGCTGAAGCAGCCACACGGTGGGCCCGTCTACCACGTCGCGCCAGGCGCGGCACACCGGGCGGCAGCGGGTCACTAAGGCTCGCGGCGGCACGTGGCTCAGCACCTGCACGAGCAGCTCCGGGGGCAGCACATCCAGGGCCACGGGCGGGTCTACGGGCAGCCGCCGCCTCGACGGCCGAGCGCCCATCTCCCGCCGCTGGCGTCCTGCAGGTCCAGAGGGGGCGTCGAGTCAGCGCCAAGGTCATGGGGTCCCTGAGCGACCCAGGGGCTGCCACGGCCGCGGAAGCTACGAAGCTACGAACTCGGTTCCAGCCTCCTGGCTCTGAACATTGATAGAGAGACCCTCACTTCTTCCTCCTTCCTTCTGGGGCAAAAGACCCCTCCCTGCGCCGACTGACTCCATTAGGCCGCTAACCCTAGCTCCCATCCGGGCGCGCACTTGTGCCAGGCAAAGCACTTTATATGACCGTAAGATACAGACCCCTCCCGGCAGAAAACTAACCCCAACCCTCCCTTGACCACTCTCTCCCACCCCGTCCAGCTACAGCTTTCTATCCAGGGTCTCATGCATGCTAGGCACGTGCTTTACCTCTGAGCTACATCCCCGGCCCAGCCCCATTTCCTTGTTTCTTTTTATAGTAAAGCTTCTTGCAACTTAGTGAGAGGCCCAGTCTCAAAAAAAAAAAAAAAAAAAAAAAAAAGCCGGTGCCGTGGCCCACACCTGTAACTCCAGCAATTTAGCGAGGCCCTTAAGCAACTCAGCAAGATAAATAAATAAAAAGGGCTGGGGACTGGCTCAGTGGTTGAGAGCCTCTGGGTTCAATCCCCAATACCAAAAAAAAAAAGAAAGAAAACACGGGAACCAGCTTGGTAGAGCGCTCTCCTAGCATGTGCAAGGCCCCAGGCTCCATCTTCAACAAACAAAAACCTTCTCAAAACAATTGTCTAGACTCACCACCTCACATCTTCAGCTTTCATTCTCTTGCCAACCTTTTCTAGTCGGGCCTTGCTCCCTGCCCTGTGCTGAGATGTTGAGGTAACAGCGACCTCCAGGATGCGAGGCCTAGTTACTGTCCCTTGGTGGCCTTGCTTGACCTCAGCAGCATCTGCTGATTATTCACCCCACCTCCCCTCTGGACTCCTGTCCTCTCCAGTGGCTTCTTGTCAGTCTCCCTGGCTGGCTCTTCCTCTTCTCTCTGATCTCACAGAGTTGGAGCTGGGCCTCTGAAACTCTTCTCTGTCAATCCTTGCCATCCCTCTCCCCCTTGCTTCTCTCCTCCATGGTCTCTCCTCACAAGCATCCAAGTCACAGGTAGTGCCCTGCCCTCCTTGGAGCTCTCCTGTGATTCCATCCCACTCTCGGTGAAAGCTCAGTCCTTCCCGGGGTGCACGAGGCCCCTGTGATCTGCTTCATCCTCTCTATTCTCATCTCCCTCTCAGTCACTCTGCCCCAGCCACAATGGCCTCCGTGCCTCTGGGGCTCGGTGCCTCTGGGCCTTCACCCTGGCTGTCCCCTCCAACTGGATGCAGACGATTTCTTTGCTTACTTCCAAATATGCTTTAGGTCTTTGCTCAAATGTCAGCTTTTCCACGGGGCCTTCCATGACAACCTTATTTACAATTTCAGGGCGTCACCACCATTACCTACGCCCCTTCCCTTCTCCTCACTTAACACTTCTCTAATGCACCTATCACCTTCTAACAGAAAACACGATTAACTATGCAATTAACTTATTAGTCCTCTTTGATATCTGTCTTTCCTACCACATCGTAATCATCATGAGGGCAGAAATTGTTTCTTTTGCACGTGGCATACCACAGTGCCTACAACAGTGCCTGATGCATACTAAGTATTCAATAAAGAGAATGTTAAACGGACGAATGGGCTGGCGTGCAGCTCAGTGGTTGAGCGCTTGCTTGGCATGTGTCAGGCCCTGGGTTCTATCCTCATGCCTGCCAACAACGAAACAAAACAAAACCCCACAAAAATACAAGCAAAACCATTTCGCGGATGAGGGAACTGATGTCGCACATGTGTAACCAGGTGGGACACATTTATTTAACCAGAACTCAGTGACTAGCTCAAGGTCTAGTCAAAACTCACTTCATACCCTGAGGCAGATCCCTCTAGTAGGGAAAGCACAGAGTCGCCCACCCATCCTGCCTGGGTCCAAGTCCCAGCTAAGCTTCCAGCTAGTTATAGGATCACGGGCAAGTCGCTTAACCTCCTCTCTTTACCTGTTTCCTCTTCTGAAAATGGGATGTTAAAAGTGCTGACTTCTGCTGGGCGCGGTGACACATGCCTGTAATCCCAGTGTCTCGGGAGGCTGAGGCAGGACGATCACAGGTTCAAAGCCAGCCTCAGCAATTTAGCAAGGCTGTGAGCAACTCAGTGAGACTCTGCCTCTAAATAAAAACTAAAAAGGACTGAGGATATGGCTCAGTGGTTAAGTACCCTTGAATTCAATCCCCAGCACCAAAAAAAAAAAAAAAAAAAAGTGCCAACTTTATAGGGCAATAGTGAGGATAAAGCAAATCAATATTTTTTTATAAAGTGCTTATGAAAAGCCTGTGGGGGCTCATAAGTAAGAGCGATATTAATTTAATATTAAGCACCAAATTATGTCAGTTGCTAATACTATTATTACGCTTCACAAAAAAGCAACAAGCAACTATTCAGCTGTGATATTTTCACGCAGTGTATTTATTGGCCCTAATTAAGCCATCGTACTGTGTGTCTAAGCTGGATCATCTCACTGAATCTGATCATCTTGTTAACAGGCGAAACAATCCTCTGAGGTCGCCCTGGGTTAAGAGGCTCCAATGAGCTAATGCTTGTCATATGGGCGCATACAGGAAGTGCTCAGTTCATGTCAGCTATTATTATTTTTAAGCAGATTGATTAAAGTTTTGTTTGAAAGAAAAGAGGACTGGAGGGCTGGGGGTGTAGCTCAATGGTAGATCACTTGCCTGGTATGTGCAATGCCTTGGGTTCAATCCCCAGCACTGAGAAAAAGAAAAGATTCTATCAGGCAAGTGTCCCATGGATAGAGCAAAAATTCTAATATATCTTTTTTATTTTTATGTTGAGATAGAGTCTCAGTAAGTAGCTGAGGCTGGTTTAAACTTATGCTCCTCCCGCCTCAGCCTCCTGAGTTGCTGGGATGACAGGTGTGCACCACCAGACCCATCTCTGATACCATCTTTAACCCCACTACAGAAGAACTGAAGTCATGGAGACAGATTTTAGAGAGATTAGTTTGTGCTTTTCTCCCCTTGGTTATTAGTTGCATTAATAATTATCTTGACTCCTAAAACCAGCCACCAGTTTGCCTGGCGGGGATATGAGACCAACCAGGTCCACTCTTCTTAAGAGTGTGCTGGTCTTTGGCAATCTGGGGCTGGGGTGGCTGTCTCAGCCAATGAGGGCAGTCAGATACCATTAAGGAGCAAGGACCTCCAAGAGATACGCTTCTTTCCGGGCACAGTGGCCCACACCTGTAATCCCAGCGACTCAGGAGGCTGAGGCAAAATCGTGAGTTCAAAGCCAGCCTCAGCAAATTAGCAAAGCCCTAAGCAACTCAGTGAGACCCTATCTCTAGTAAAATACAAAAACGGGCTGGGGATGTGGCTCAGGGGGTTAGCGTCCAATCCCTGGTACCAAAACAAACAATATAAAAACGCACCTCTTGAGTTTTCAGCCATCCTTCACAAACCACACAAGCAGCTTGCTCAGGACACACCAGGTCCCTCATATCCAACATGTTGCAGCCTCAAGGCCAATTTCAAGCCCGGGACTTCCTGCTGCCCTACTTGCCCCAAATAACTACAATGACTTTCCCTACTGACATGTTCTTCCTGAGTTCTCATTACGTTTCAGGGTCTTTGTGACCACCTCAGCTTCCAGAGCAATGCGGAAGTGACATTGCCCAGGGATTTCCAAAACCTAAAAGAGGCCCCTGCCTGATGGGCCCTCCTTTGGAGCCCTGAGTCCAGGGGTGTGCTGCTAAATGGTTAACAACTGGCTCTTAGGAGGTGGGTGGGGAAGAGCTTGGATTTATAGACTCTGTGGCTTTCCGTGGGGTAAATCATACCCACCAAGGCTGATTGCAAACGGCCCATGTGAAATCCCTGAGCTATGGAATTGGAATGAGCTCAAAAGAGATTTGCACAATTAATTAGCTAGAGCAAGCTGCCCGTGTCATGGCAGGAGCCTGGGTGCCCTGAAATCCTCATGCAGAGAGAGGCGAAGACAGGGAGGTGGCACCAGCTTCTCTAGCCCCAGCTGTTTCAATCTCCCCATCGCAGGAGTTGATGCAGGCCCCGGCCCCTGTCTGATGGCAGCTGCATGAGACCTTCCCCCCAAAATGTGGACCACTTAGCTGGGCTCAGTCAGTCCCCATAACCATAAAAGATAATAGTAAAATAACGTTTTTGGGGGCAGGGGGATTGAACCCAGGGGTGCTTTACCACTGAGCCACACCCCAGACCTTTTTATGTTTTGTTTTATTTATTTGTTTGTTTGCACTTTCAAAAAAGATCAATTAACATAATTTCACTGAACTCAGGGGCACTAGACCCCTGAGTCACATCCCCAGCCCTTTTATGTATTTTATTTAGAGACAGGGTCTCACGGAGCTGCTTAGCACCTCACATTTGCTGAGGCTGGCTTTGAACTCGTGATTTTTCTGTCTTAGCCTCTGAGTCACTGGGATTACAGGCGTGTGCCACCATGCCCGCCCCTTATGTTTTATTTTGAGACAGGTTCTCATTAAGTCACATAGGGTCTTGCTAAATTGCTCAAACTTGCAATCCTCCTGCCTCAGCCTCCCAAATTGTTGGGATTCCAGGTGTGCACCACCTTGCCTGGCCTGAATTGTTGTTCAGCAGGCTGTTATGCAGCACTAGCTAGATGGAACTATGCTTGGGGACCTACCTTGAGTGGGATGGAGACCCCAGAGGTAGCCCCCAATAAGAAACAGTGGGTGTCCAAACTTAGACCTATTTGAATTCAAATCCTGATGCTACCCCCTGTGTGATTTGGGGAAAAAATATTTATTTCCTTTGTACCTTGTAAATATAAGTCAGGAATAGCATGATTTTTTAAAAATGGAGAGTCTATCCTCTGTCTTCATGGATTCTGTATTCTTGGACTCAACAAGCACTAATGGTACATATTTGAAAAAAAAAAAAAAAAGGACGTT